TTAGGAATACCCTAAGAGGCTTCCTAGTAAGTATATAACTAATAGGTCCGAGAATACCTCGTACTTCGTACGAGATTCTAGTCTTTTTAAGCGATCCTTAAGGGCTTACGGACCTATTACCCTAATAGTAACGCTTAAGGAGACCTCGATAATATTTAACGTACTTATTTAGTGTAGTCTAACGTATAAAATCGGCTATTTTATCGATAATATAGAGGAGGATAAAGAAGAGGAGTTACTACACTAAAAAAAACCTATATAAAGTGCTAAAGTAGATTATCGAGTCGACGACGAGGTTATAGATTTAAGCGATGTAAAAGGATGCAAAAGGGTGTAATTCTCTAGCTAAATTTAGTGTGGGAGCCATCGCTTGGCATCCTTGGCATTCGCTCGCAAATCCATTCGCTCTGGCCATTCGCTCGCCGAAGGCATTCCCTAGAAATATAGGGTTGTAGCCTACACTGAACGTTGTATGACTAAGCGATTTCCGTTCCCACAGAATACTGTAGTACTCGCGCAAGCCACCTGTGCGACGACATCCATATTGGCGGGTAATTTTTTCTAGAAGTAAATGTATTTGAACTGAAGATTCAACGATACGTAAAGAGCATTTATCATCGTGATCGCCTGGTCTCGCCTGCCTGCTAGCTCCTCGCCGTCAGTCAATGGGTGGTGGACTCGGGGCCGCCATATTCATCCATATCCGGATACATTCGTTTGCGCTGTAAGTGACACCAGATTAGGGGCATTATTACTGAAAGCTGGATCCCGTTGAGGCATTCATGAGACATTTTTGGGCGGCTTAAGACTGCGCTCAATAGATAATCGACACAATTTCTTTACTAGGCAATCGCATAAATACCTCGTCCATAGGGCCACGCCAGCCAGTAATCTTCCACCACTATAACAAGTAGAATGTTTTAGCCTCCAAAAGGAGGATGACTGGCCACTAAATACGATTTAGAGGAACGGCCCTCGTATACATATTTCGGAAGGCTTTCCCCGTCTCTCCCGCATGTTCCGAAGCTTAGGCTCGCACCAACCACCCGTACACGGACGCCTCTAATTCAAATGACGATCCCCGGCCCCCTAGATTGGACCAGTCCAGCCCAAAAGCTCGGTTCGACGGCTAGCTTCGTCCAAGCAACGATTAAAGTTCTAAGACGACTGGAAACACTCATCCAGCAGAAGACCAATGTCCAAAACTCGGATGTCTCGAGATGTGAAAGAACAATGAGCGCTGCTCCTTGCACGTGGCTATGTAGACACTTTGAGAAACGTGGAAAGGACAAAGTATTCATGACCATACTGACCAATATCGCAGGGTGAAGGACATAAGAAATCCTCCCTTGCTCTTACACTCCGTGCGGAAATGGACTCCGTATAATTGCCTAGACTACGTGCTGTAAGAACGTTGAGCCTCTGGAGCACATGCATTTATCGAGGTCAGGGGCCCCAGCTTCTAAAGTGACCTGTAGCCCGAGTACACGGACGCTTTTCCTATTCATCTTGGAAGGTTTTATGGCCCCGCGGGGGTTTCCAGAGTGGCGTTGCCTTCGGGTCCCGTTTCGTTCCTTTGTCACGTAGACGCGCAACTTTGGTCAATAGTCCACGGGAGGTGCTAATCTGTGCACCATTGGGGACCGTCTCTCCTGGAGATGGACCAGGTATGCTACCCCAGCCAGTCTATGCACACTAATGTCTACTCCACGGCGTCGAGTGAGTCTTCGGTGCACCCAGGGCACGGGATGAGGGGGAGTGCGCGGAAGTGATAGAACGAGCTGAAGAGCCACCGCCCTGGACTAAAGCATTTGGATTTGGTGAGCGCACGAACTAGTAAATCTGGGCCACTGGCTAGCACTTGCCAGGGTCTCACACATCTAATCCTTGAAGACAGCTCTATCTCTTTGATATCATGTAAAAGAGACGTCAGGCCCGTAGGTCCTGCTCTTTTGTATTGTTCACTATTATTTGCAGCTTTTCGAAGCAGCTTCTGCAGAAATACAGTGTCTCGATGTCTTCTCTGATACTTTCCCCACGAGATGAAGTTATTGGTGCAATGCCTCCTCCTCCCGGTGTTACCCCTAATTTCGTCGATCCGCCGTCCAGAGCACATATTGTCATCGTCGTCAATTCCGTGTGGTCAATTATCTCAGTTTCATTCGTTGGGCTACGCTCTTACACTGCTGTCTCTATTACACGCCATGTAAGGATAGATGATTGTAAGCCACCATCCTTGTAACAAACCTCTACTAATATCAATAGACCTACTTATTACTGCCTGGGTTTGTATACTCACGTCAAATTGTTCATAAGAACCTTACTGATCTGATGTGACGAACTCAGTTTCCCGCACTACTATTCTCTATTTTTGACTGCATGAGTGCGCGGCTCATATCTTCGGGTCAAAACAGGGCATAGACTAAATATTTTTAGATTTGAGGTACGGCCTTGGACGGCATATGTGGGATGTCCCATTTTCTACGTTAAACCCTAATTTCATGAAAGTAAGGAAACTACTTTGCTATTATATTCATTTAAGAACATTAAGCACGTCAAGAACAACGCTGACTGATATGTTTTAGTTTGGGGTGATTTCCGGCGTGTTTTATGGATTCTCGATTATGCTCACCAAACTCTCGATTCTCACACTTTTTCTGCGGTTCGTACCTCGAGGGAAACTAAGAGTTACTATTTACATCATCATGGTCACTGTTGTGGTGTATATTCTAGTGGCATCATTTGATTGGGTGTATACCTGTCAGCCAATAGCAAAATACTGGGACCTTACAATAACCGATGGGTCTTGCATAAACTGGGTGAAAATCGCAGTTTTTAGCAGCGTGATGAATGCAGTTACAGATGTTGCACTTCTTGTCTTGCCAATCATATTTCTACGAAATCTCCGACTCCCGAAGAAGCAAAAGATTGGCATTATGATTGTGCTGATGACAGGAGGCTTGTATGTTTAATGATTCCCTGAATTGCATAGGAAGAACATAAGCTTACTGAATACCTAGTATATTGGTTGTCAGCATTGTTAAAGCAAAGCTAACGGTGGGGCTAGTGGATAAAACAGATATTACTTGGGATATTGTCGCTCCAACAGTATGGTGGTAAGTGAAAATGGTCCTTGCCTCAACCTCACCATTTATATTGGTAATATTTACTGATACTTGGCTTATAGGGCGACTGAGGTGCATCTTGCTATCATTTGTGCATGTCTTCCAGCTGGAAAGCCCTTCCTACGGAAATACTTACCTAGGCTGATCGGCAGTAGCAACAATGATTCTATTGTAATTAGGAGACGCACTCGACCATACTCCCATAAAGAACCCCTTCCTTCAAGGGATGGAGGGAGGGGTCCCCAGGACATTCGCCTGGAGGAACGAGAGCGAAATAGTAAAGTGCGGAGAGTTACTTGAATTGTAAGTAGACTCGCTAACAATTGCGGCGCAGGGCATCAATGTCACCACCATCACTACAATTGGCCCCGGTATACGACCGCCTACCCTTAGAGAATATAGCTCGGATGAAAGATTGATCGTTATTGGTAGTAGTTAAGTAGAGAACGATGGCCGGTAATTTCAAATATTTCTTGTTTTCTAAATGTTGATAGCAATAACGAGATATAGATGAGGCAGCGAACTCAAATAATAATAAGTATTGTTGGCGCTAATAATTCTAGCGTATATTAACTTACCTAAAACGTAACGCGCTAAAGATATAGATACTAAACGTTATGATGCATTCCTATAAGTCCTATTATAAAATTACTATTGTATCAGCATTTAGAATACTTAAAAATCTATGAATCATTTAAAATCATGGAAAAGGGGCTTACGGAGATTAAATGCCTTATAAATTTGTATATAAATAAGAATAGAGTCCATAGGATTGAAAGAGGTAGAGATCTTAAATATGCTCGAGTACTTGCCAAAAAAGGGCGTAGTTAACTTCGCCAATAGGTTTATCAGCCCTCTACTAGCGGGTAATGATCTGACAGTGAGCTAAGCCTAGGTGGTAGGATTCTCCTTAGCACCCCCAGCCACACCCAGCTACGTTGAGCCTCAAACAGCAGCCACATTACTTACCTTAATCTTGTTAGCGGCTAGCCGCACGTGATGCGTTCCTATACTATAATTCCTACGCCTCTACCTACCCTATGTTGCAGGGCACACTATATTCAGCAGGCCAGGGCTGATCGTGCAAAGCTGTCACTGTAGCAACAACCCTAGCATTCGGATGCCCCCGTATCGCTCCTGTGTCGCTCACACCGGTAAGCAAAGGTTAGGTGGGCTTAGCTAGTACTGGAGGCCGCTCGGCCTCCTCGGCTGGGTATAGTTCGAGGCGCCAGCGCTAAGCCAATTACATTTCTGGGGAGTAGGCAATGGTGGTCCGTTCCGACGCTGACTCTGGCTCTATAAAGGGACACCGCGTTCTTACTTCGAAGTTGTATACTGTAACCCTAGACTGTGGCCAGAGACTCTATAGGTTTGCAATAACTAGTCCCCGATCGGCTTGCTTCCGAGATGGCTGTCCCACTTACAGCCAGTCTAGTCGCACAATAGATGTAAGCATGTAGTGTCCATTACTCAATGAGCCACTTATTCGTTGCTTGCTGTTCTCAGCTTTCCGTCGGTTCCTTGTGTCTTACACGATAGGTTTCCTGCACTAACATATCGCTGACCTCTAGCAAGCGACAGGCAACGCCAGCAATATCTACAGAGAGGGGACCTCAAGCCCTCTCACAAGAGCTCACGACTACACAAATTACGAGACCTAAACCGACAGCGAACCGTAAGAGGAAGGGAATAGATGGGGTCATTACCTAAACTAATTAAAATATAGCCTGCCTCCCAAATTAAGTAGTGAAATAGTAGGGCGAAAGACAATAAATGGCCTCACCTACGAACTTAGCTACGCATACTAGATAACTAAAACCGATTGCCTTCCCGAAGAAAAGAACTATCCTAACGCTAGTCTAATCACTTAATTACACTTAAATCTACTATTCCTTCCGTATAGATTATTCTAAGTACTATAAGCCTTAATAACTATAAACTAGGCTACTATTAGGAATACCCTAAGAGGCTTCCTAGTAAGTATATAACTAATAGGTCCGAGAATACCTCGTACTTCGTACGAGATTCTAGTCTTTTTAAG